TTGAGATAATAAAGATTTTGAAAGTAAGAGCGCTTTTGAACGCGCGAATTCAGTTTTCGGAGTGGCCGAATAGCGTTTCCCCCACAGAAAAAAAATGAGCCCTGATTCGTTTCTCTACGACTATTCGTTGAGCAAGAAAAGGCGATTTTCGAGATGACCTTTTTTTCGAAAAATCGATATAACTCGAAAAAAGTTTAATATTTTTTAATTTAAAAGAAGGCACTTTATTTGCTTGCCGAGGGCTACATTTACAGCAAGTAACAAGTTTCAAAACCTTAATTTGAATCAAGAGATACAGCAAAAGCAAGAAAAGTCGATTTTTTACGTTTTTTTCGATATATCTCGAAAAGTAATATAGCAATTGATATATTAAAAAATACGAATCGATAGGTTTTTTTAATAGCGTTGTCATTTAATTTAAGTTCTAGTTTTTTTTTATTAGCGAAAAACCGTTTTTTTACTTTTATGAATTTTATTTAGGTTAACTTCGGCGTTTATGCGTCATAGCAAAAAAAAATACTATATTTCTTAGAATTTTTTTTCCTATATCACCATATCTTTTGTTTCCAGGTAATATTTTTTGTAAAACATTGGGCTGTGACAAGACTAATTGAACTACAACGATGATTCAGTAACGTCTGATATTAATGATCTGACAATGGTTTGAAAATGACAACGANGTAAGAGCGCTTTTGAACGCGCGAATTCAGTTTTCGGAGTGGCCGAATAGCGTTTCCCCCACAGAAAAAAAATGAGCCCTGATTCGTTTCTCTACGACTATTCGTTGAGCAAGAAAAGGCGATTTTCGAGATGACCTTTTTTTCGAAAAATCGATATAACTCGAAAAAAGTTTAATATTTTTTAATTTAAAAGAAGGCACTTTATTTGCTTGCCGAGGGCTACATTTACAGCAAGTAACAAGTTTCAAAACCTTAATTTGAATCAAGAGATACAGCAAAAGCAAGAAAAGTCGATTTTTTACGTTTTTTTCGATATATCTTGAAAAGTAATATAGCAATTGATATATTTAAAAATACGAATCGATAGGTTTTTTTAATAGCGTTCTCATTTAATTTAAGTTCTAGTTTTTTTTTTATTAGCGAAAAACCGTTTTTTTACTTTTATGAATTTTTTAGGTTAACTTCGGCGTTTATGCGTCATAGAAAAAAAAAATACTATATTTCTTAGAATTTTTTTTCCTACATCACCATATCTTTTGTTTCCAGGTAATATTTTTTGTAAAAACATTGGGCTGTGACAAGACTAATTGAACTACAACGATGATTCAGTAACGTCTGATATTAATGATCTGACAATGGTTTGAAAATGACAACGATCTGAAAATGATCTAGCATCAATGACATCCGATGACCCATTTTTGGCCACAACTTTTGCTTCTTTAACGTTGACTTTCCTTAATCGAAATATGTACGTTATGAGAACATAAATATAAGTGTTATTTATCACCGAAATTATTGAGTATAACTTCGAATAAAAAACGCAAATGGAAAAACCTGACAATAAATCTCCCGCCTAATTTGTAACTTCCCCCTTCAGGGGCGATAGTCGATATTTCCAAACGGACTATAAAATAATTAATTACGATCCAGATACGCCGGAAATGGGCAGCACTAGCCCTACCTCTGGGACTTGGTGTTACAGGAATGCAACCCTTAATTCGCGCCTATCTATGACCCTTTGCGGTCGGTGAATAGCACCATCCTGTTAAACCGTTACGGGTCGAGGGGGGGGGGGACAGCTGCCCGTATTAGTCAAAATAATGGCTGACAAATATGAACCCCGATAAATAATCGGCGTGCGTTCGTATAAAAAAGTTATAAATAATTTAAATAAGGAGGCGCTCGCGTGACTAAGCGTAATCCAGTGAGCATGGAAGAGGCAATTAGAAAAGATTGAGTTCTTGTGGGGAGCCAGGCCCCCCCTCCCTCCCCCCTAGAGACGTAATTACTTAACTGCGAATTTAAACACAATTAAAATCAATTTCAACTTGCAGTCTCGTCGGCGGTCAATTTCATCAGTTAAAATTATACGAAAACTAAACGTGGATATTTTTTCTGTTCTCAAAAACATTTAATAAACATACAGGGTGCTCCACTTAAAAAGAATAAGTTAAGATGGTTTAAAGTTGACTAAATTTGGCTTTAAATTTCTACCATCCTGTATGAAATTAAGTCATTTCGAAATTATGGCAGGGAAGCTTAAGAGTTTTAGTTATGTCTCCTATAAATTTTATCGCTTTAACTTTATAATTGCAAAATACACATCTTTTTGAATTAGGCAGTACTTTTTTAATTTTTTTTTGATAAAATTAAATACCTAAGTATATAAGAATATGAAACCTTTCAGTTCACCTAAAAATTGACGTGGAATCCAAAATTGCAATAATATACAGTGTGTTCCATTTAGAATAACGAGGTGGAAGCTATTATTTTAGTTGAGAAGGGCATGCCCGAAAATATTTTTGCCCAAATTTTCAAAATTAAAATCGAAGTAGTCTCTGAAATATGTCTAATGTTTCGTCACCGTGGGACACTCTGTATACAATGTGTCCTGATTTATTTGAGTAGAGACATTACATTAAAAGACAAATTAAGGTCAAATATTGTTTGTTAAATGGATATTTAAGAGTATATCAAAGCACGTATGTATACAGGGTGTTTCTTAATAACGTGCTAATTAATATTTAAGGAGGTTATTTTTGGGTCCATTTTAAGAAAAAAACTTCACGTCCTAAAAGTCTTAACTTTTGAACTACAGGGTGCTAAAAACATTTTTTTATGATAACTTTGGTATTACCCTACATATATTTTTTCATATTTGGTACACGCTATTCATAGAGATGCATTTTCTGATGTACAAATAATTTTATTATGTTTGCCAGTGGCGTCTGTACAGGTTTTGTATTGAATATTTTTGAAGAAAAATAAGTTACGCCACTGCTTTTTCTTAGTAAGTAAAAATCATTTTTGAAATCCTCATTCCTTTCTGAGCAAATGTCGTGTCTTGAATTTTTTCGTTTGACGTACGGTTTTTGCATAAAAAAATAAAATTTATTCATTTTTACGCTGTTATGAAATTAGGTACCTACTAATAAGAATTAAAAACAATCTAGTAGGTAAAAAGCAGATTTTGTTTTGCAAACATAAACAGTTTTGACAGTTGTCTACCCAGTCTAGTGTCACGTATTTAAGTTATTAAGATTAACAATATTATTTAAAAAACATGGTCCAATATACGAATTCTGAGCTTGCAGACATGCACTACTTGTATGGCCTTGCTGATGGTAACGCACTGAAAGCCAGGGGGTTGTATGAAGACCGCTTTCCAAATAGAAGTATTCCGGATGCGCGTACATTTTCAAACATTCATAGAAGATTGTGCGAAAAGGGACGTTTTAAACCAAACCATCATCTAAAAGGAGTACACTGTACTGTAAAAACTCAAGAAATTGAGATAGAGGTTTTGAATTCAATTGAAGAAGATCCAGAATTAAGTACAAGAAAAATTGGGAAAAATTTAAATGTCTCACATATTCTTATTTGGAAAATTCTCCATGACTTTTCATTATATCCCTACCATATCCAACGGGTTCAAGCTCTACTATCTCAGGATTTTCCATTACGGATAAACCTCTGCCAATGGTTTCTTCATAGAGTGAATGAAAATCCATTATTTGACACTGAAATTTTACTTACCGATGAAGCCAACTTTTCCAGAAACGGCATCCAAAACTTCCACAACAATCACTATGTGGGCTGAAGAAAACCCACATGCAATCTTGGAATCCCGTCACCAGAAGCAGTTTTCCGTTAACATGTGGGTTGGAATATGTGGTGATTATTTAATTGGACCCTATTTTCTTCATGATAGGTTAATTGGACGTAATTATCGGCATTTTCTCGAAGAAGAATTGCCAGGTTTGATGGAGTTTGTTCCCATTTTAGTAAGAAATCGACTATGGTTTATGCACGACGGAGCACCAGCGCACTTCAGTGCTCTGGCGCGCGAATATTTAAACCAAAATTATAATAATTGCGGCGGACCACAGTCATGGCCACCTAGGTCCCCGGACCTCAATGCTTTAGATTACTTCCTGTGGGGTCATCTCAAAACATTGGTTTACGGCACACCAATTCATACTGAAGAGCAGTTGAGAAATCGTATCATAGTTTGTTGCGAAACTATTAGAGCCACTCCCGGCATTTTCCAAAGAGTACGTGAATCCATGAGAAGAAGAGCAGAGGCATGCATATTTGTAGGAGGTGGACATTTCCAACATCTGATATAATTTATTTCTTTGTGCGTTCAGGGTAATTTTCTTTTGCCATTCCAAAATGTATGTAGATTACTGTAATTTCATAATTTCAACGTTTAAAAGTTATTATCTTAAATAAATTATTGTTCAAAGTTACATAAATCTTTTTTTTTTCTCGTAAGGGGTCCAATAAGATGCCAATGAATGAATTTATTTTTTTATGCGAAAACCGTACGTCAAACGAAAAAAAATCAAGATACCACATTTGCTCAGAAAGGAATAAGAATTTCAAAAATAATTTTTAGAAGACGTGTACCAAATTTGAAAAAATATCTAGGGTAATACCAAAGTTATAAAAAAATCATCTTAAAATGGACCCAAGAATAACCTCCTTAAATATTAGCACGTTATTAAGAAACACCCTGTATTTTGTAGAGCAGGTGTACAAGAATATATCGATTAAGTAAGAACAATGTTGTCACTTAACATCATTTATTAAAACAAACTAAAATTAATTGTCTGTGTCTCTTAAATAAGAAACAGGCGCGATATTTGACGAAAGGTCGTAAAAGACAGCCCCACAACGCGACATAACAAATTATTACCGGGCACTTCTTTCGCTGGAACGAATTTAATACAGTTACGGGATCCGTTACGACGTTACCTTTAATAGACTGTCACGCTGGAAATGTACAAAATGAAAAATGACTTTGTGTCGTTTCAGGATTATTGAAAACAGTGCTGTGCGTCCGAATCAACAGGCTGAATGTACCGGAAGTGGCGCAACTGGGGGATCCCGTGGTCCTGGATTGCGACTACACCTTGGAGGAGTCCTTAGACGATGGACTTGTAGTTAAGTGGTTCTTCAATGAAAAACCTTTGCCGGTGTATCAGTGGATACCGAATAAAAAACCGCAGGAGCGAGGTAAGAGCGAGTTTTCTTTATTGGTCTGTCGGGGAGGTATTGGGAAATTTGAAACACGCTTAGAAAAGTGTGATGTGTGACTCACGTTTCTGGTAAGGATTATTTATTTACAGAAACCACGAATTTTGTTAAAGGAAAGCATGTTCATTTATTTTTTATCTAATTTCTTTCAAATATTAAACAAAATTGTATTGAAGACATCTGTAATAATGTAGTGTGTCCCAGAACTGGTAGTATTTTGTCAAAAAAATACCAAATAGTTTTTTAAATATAAAATAGTATTTTGTATTTTGTAATTAAAACACTTTTGTTAAAACTCCAAAAATATTTTGTATTTCAAATACTTTACTAAAGTATTTTGTATTTTAAAAAAGTATTTAAAATATTCTAAAAGTAATTTAAATACTCTTGAGTATTTAAATCGATGCTCCATTATTAATAAAAATTATTCTGTGGATAGTTAATAAAAATAAATATGTAGTCCAGGTATCTGTTTCAAAAAGTCCATATTTGGGTGAATCGTATATCCAGGGAGATTTTTGTCATTTTTTCTTTCAAATATCACTAGAAATTAAAATTTTTCTATGCACATAAAAAGAAACGTGGGCTTAACTTTTGGCGGCACAATATGTTTAAAAAATTCGAAAAATGTCATATTTTTCTTCCTATTTAATTATGTATCTTTTCAAGAGTTGATTTTAGGCGAAAATGGAAGAGGAAAAAAATGTTTGTAATTAAATTTTACAAAATATGACTAGTTACAAATCGAACGATTCATGATTATTATTGTAAAAATCGAAAAAATCGCAAAAAATGGGGTTAAAAAATATTACTTTTTAGGGATTTTTTTTGGAGTCTTTAAATGGAGTCTGGGTATAGGGCCTTCATACTCAAGAAAACTTCAGGTTGTGTAGAATCATTACACCAAATTTCATCAAAATCGGTTCGATAGATTTTGCATAATAATTTAGACCAAATTTTGAAAAAAAAAAATTTGCAAATTTTCATAATTTTGCACAGCAAAAACCAAAGTCCTTAGATACTTGAAAATTTAATCACCTATAGAAGGGCTGTCAAGCTTTCAAACGCTTTTTGAAAAATTCAAATCCGTCAATTAGGAGAGCTCTGGCGCTTATTTAAACATTAGTCGAATTTTTGTCTCATAAACAATTAGAATAACTGTGAATATTCAACCAAATCAATTTTTTTTAAATAGGTTTTAAAAGTTCTTAGAAAAACGCTTCTTTAAAAAAAAATAGATCGATTGGTTAATTAATTACGTAGTTAAAGTCGATCAAAGTTAACCGTCATTTACACTAAATGTACTGGGACATCCGGGCTCATTTTTCGAAGAATACCTTTGGTATTCCGAGTACTTACCAGGTCTAAGTTTACAGTACTTTTCTTCATTGGCAACCTACTTTAAAACGTGTTTAAAGTTATTTATGCATGCGAGAAATTCAAGAAAATCGTACGGGTGGTGGTGATGGGGGAAACGAGAGCGCGGCCTTTTCGGATTGCTCGCAATTGAATCGCCGAGTTCAAAACGACGAAGCGCTTAAAAATTTTTAATATCTCAGCTTCTAGAGGTCCGATTCTGATTTTCAAATGCCTGTCGTTAATAATTATTGGTCTTTCAACAGTCCGATAACTATTTATCTTTAAACTTCCTTTAATTATCAACTTTATTTTTTTATTGTATCAAAGGTAAGTGCATCAAGTTATATATCGTATATCAAAGATCAAAAACAATTTTATTTAAATATTCTAAAATTGTTTATACAATAATTATTTTCAAAATATGTCTAAAACTAGTAATATAATGAGTTAATTTCTCATTTGCTTATATTTTAAACAATAAATAATATTTGGATTATCACAAAAGAAATGATGATTAAATTAATAAATTAATTATAAAAAATCAATAATATTTTATTTATACTTAATTGCATTAATAAATCAGGATTTAAAAAATGTACACAAATATTTGTTTTAAATTTATGAATGTATATATTTATGAAATAAAGATTCTTTTTTAATATTACCTTTTTTGTGATTTTTGAAAGTATAGTTCAAGTAATTTTTATATGAGAAATCATAGTTTAATTTCTCTACTATGTACTTATATTTCGACAGGTGCTTTATGAATTCTTCTCTTATGTATCATAACCCAAATATCTCTCGTCAAACACAAACTATTGTTTTACGACGCCTCCAGACGAATATCTACGTAACAAAAGACGTCTGTGTACCTACCTAGACAATATCAGTCCAGGTCTTGTCAAATTACATCCGCAAATATGTTAATGGGACTAATTTGCACCCACTCTGTGGTACTTTGTTGTTTCGCCAAAATTGTTGTGGTATTAAATCACTGCTCTAGCCGTCATTTATACAATCCACCCTTGCAAAGATTTTGAAATAGAAAAAAAGTTTGAAGTCAACTAATTTAGAAAAGACAGTAGATTGATAAAAATATTCTTCATCAAAAGTTAACTAAAAATTTAAAGACGATTATATTTTTGTTTGTTGTTATAAAAATAAAGTATATCTTGTTTGTGAGTCGGGAAAAAACATATTTACATGCAGACATTTTTCCTGGTACATGTGTTTTTGATTCAAAACAATGTTCCCGGTGTTTGTGTACCTAAAAAACAAAAGACGATCCGATATCTCGACATGAGAAGTTGTTTCGAAGTCCTGTAAAAATATGCGATGTGGGGGACGTTGTATATCCTTAAAAGATTTTTTGGGAAATCAGAGTGGTATGCGGCGACTTTAAATATGTAGGAAACACGCTATGCTTGCTTCGTTAAGCGCAATTTTCAAGAAATACGGGACTATAAAACACTTCAGCGTGTCGTTTCTCATGATTTAATACAGGGGATTTTAGTAAAATACCTTTTCATAAATATAATAGGGATAGGGTGCAGAGTGTATATGTGTAATATAAAATACATTCAATGTATACTTGTGGGTAATATATGTAATTTACGTTTTGTTCAACAGTTTCAGTTTGTTTTTAATGAATAAAGTCAAATTTCAATCACCAGTAACTACATTTCTTTAGTCACTAGCGAAATAAAGTAATTATTATTTAAATAAAGCAAACAACAAACAATTAACTATTTATTAGGATTTATATTAAAATAAAAGCAAGCACTCTTCAACACAATTTATTCCTAGAGATAAATGCAGTGATTTGAAAATGAATGTACTTAAAGTAATATTTATTTACTAATAGTTTTTCTGATTACAATTTCAATTACGTAAATCGGTTTAGAGATCTCTATATTTTACGTAGGTGATAATTTTGCCACAAATATAAAATTAATAAATATTAAGTGTTCTCTAAAAATTGCACTTATTTTTATTCTGGAAAATTGTCTCACTAGTTAAATGAATATACCTAGAATATATGAATAGAGGCTATAGAACGCCCATATTTCTTGAGAAAGAAAGAATAACTTTAAGTTATCACGTACTTCCAAGTTTTTGCCAGAAGAAAAAGCCAGACACATTTTTTACGCAAACTTAATACAATATACGAAACTTCCACGATTCCATTTGGAAAATTGACCTAGGAACAAAATAAAGTTCTCCTATATACATAGTGTTTTTTTAAGTAGAGGTCAAAAATCCAGGGGCGTATTCTGTGGCCAAAGGCCTTACCTTTGGCCACAGAATTTTTGATTAATGTGTGGTCTTAGCACAGCCATTGTCCAGCTACAGCGTGTCAAAAATAAAAAAATCAGTTTTTAATTTTTAATTTCTAAACCGCTTGAGATAATTTAACCAAATCGGTGTGCATATTTAGTATCACAGTAGGTATGAAACAAAAAATAACCAGTTTTAGAAACTTACCAGTGGCGGAGGTGTGGGTATCATCTACCATTATTTGCCAAAAAAGTGTATATCATCCTGTCACAAGACTATCCTGCTAAAAATTAAGAATATATTTTTTTGTTATTTTTGTCACGTTGTAGCTAGACAATGGCTGTCCTAAGATTTATATAACAAAAAAAACTTTATTTTTGACCACAGAATACGCCCCTGGATTTATTTAACGAAAAAATATGCTATTATGATACTGTGGTGCGCACTGTCAGCTTTTTTACCTTTATCTTTCAATAAATAAAACTCTGTTTCAAGCACTTAACTAAATAAGACATATTAAAAAAGCACAACTTTGTCTGAAGTATTTCGGAGCCCAACAATACAGCAAGTATTTTTTTTTTTATAAAAGAAGTAAGTATATATTAATTGGTTTTCCCCAGAAGCACAATTTTTTTGCGTCGTCTGAAGAAACCTTTTTACTAAATATAAGATTAATATATATTTATTTTTTTTATAAAGGACGCGCTTTGATCTTGAAACGGAGTCCTTAATAATGACTCCTACATAGACGTTTTTTTTCCTAAATACATTAAAGCAAATGTATACGACATCCAATTTGAAGTATACATATAAATGATAAAGAAAATGTTGCCTCATGTCATTATATACAGGCTGTCGCCCCCGATATAAGAACTGTACCTTCATGCGTTTTCTGAGCAGTTTTTTACGAAGTTGCTTTCTTGTCCTTGTACTTATACCAATATTGACAAAAGTATCTGGTATCTGCTCCTATACAAGCAACTATAACTTGTTGTTGTTTTCGTTCAGAGCGAGAAATAACACTACCAGTATCTGAAGTACCTTGAAATGCCACAGCAAATATATATCAGAATGACCGTAATCACAAATTCGTGATGTGGCATTTTATTTCCGGTTAAAAAAATTATTTACCAATAGCATAAACAATTAAAAGATCCGTACTAACAATCACTTTCTACCCAAATTACAACTGATAACAGCTCAAATACTGATAATCGACAATTAGAAAGGAGAGCGAATTTTGGGAAACAATAAAGGAATAGCAAATGAATCATTACTGAATATCGTTCATCATTCAAAGTTTCTTTCTACCGAGACATTTGTTGTAGGAATTGTTAAAACTG